TTGACTATAAACTTTGTCCTTGAGTACTTCCCAAAAGAAAAAATCAATTGGAGTAAAGTCAGGTCAATTGGACTCCTTCGACCAATCCATTTCTCAAGAAATGTTTCAACTCATTTTGTTCTTACGGTTTCAGCATTTTGAGACTTCCAATATTCTTTTAACAGCCATTTTTTGCATCAGTATTTAAATTATTTGCTATTATGGATTCTCTGAACTATTTGAAAAGAAAAAAAATAATTTAATTTAGTTATAAAATTTAATATAACTCAAACACCATAGTTATAATATAACCCTAACACAAACCCTATTCTACCTACAATCTACCTGCTTTTGGTTCACACTGTGTGTGTGTGTGTGTATATATATATATATATATATATATATATATATATATATATATATATATATATATATATATATATACACAGAGATAGCCAAAAGTAGGTGGACAACAAATGTTAACATATATTTTGAGATTAATACAATTAAATTTTGATATACAATTATTACATATATAATTCTTCTGTTCAAACGGTTTTGGGTTGACCAGTTTGGGGGCATTAAGAATTGAGCCAGTGGTATCAAATTTGTCACAAACGCGGTGAATGGTTAGTCTCTTTGAGGCTTGGGTACCAAATGTTTCAACCTATTTTATTAAAACGGTTTCAGCATTTTGAGACTTCCAATATTCTTTTAGCAGCCATTTTTTTGCATCACTATTTCAATTATTTGCTCTTATGGATTCTCTGAACTATATGAAAAGAAGAAAAAATTTAAATTTAGTTATAAAATTTAATATAATACGAACATCATTGTTATAATATAACCCTAAAACAAACCCTATCGAATCTACTGTCCACTTACTTTTGGTTCACCCAGTATCTATAGACAAAGACCATGTGCCTTAAATGGTCATTTACAAAAAGGAGAGTTCTTAGTCTTCAAGGGAAGAAATAGAATAAAAATATTCATGTCCTTTTCTTCAGTTCACACCAAATATCGATTTATTTTTCAATTAAAAAAAAAGTCTTTTTTTATATTATTATCACCAGAATGAAAAACCGTATGTTCAGCTTCAACAGTTAGTCAGTTAAGTACCATACATGATACCCACTTGGGTGATTATGTCTCTTTCAATTCATGACTGCCTAGGCAGAAAAATTTCTCGCAGTAGTTTGTCATTTCCTTCTGCAATAGGCTAGTTGCCAACCAAGGCTCTGTCCTGCTATTAAACCCATAACTTCCCCAAGAGTATTTGTGTGTAATGAACCAAAATGGAAATCAAACTCAACTCTTTGATTTATTATTCCAAGTCATTAACTATTAAACTACATCACACATCTCAGCTTCAACAAGTAATTTTGTTTTTATTTCTTTTATCTTATTGCTTTTCTTTGATTTATTTGTGCCTTATCCCTCCACCTTAAGTGGCTCTTGGGCCTTGTACTGTTTGATTAATATTGTGATGGTACAGAGTTTGAATCCATTATAAAAATTCAGAATGTGGAATTAATCGATTTGTTGTAGCCACTATTTCTGGCTCACCTAAAGCAGTGGCAACCAAAAATTATCAATATAAATGACAAACAAATAAAAAAAAACATTTTCCCAGTTTAAAATAAAAACAATATATTCTCACAAAAATTACAATTTTTGGAAAAAGTGAGTATGTGTGTGAATGCATTTGTGTGAATGTATGTGTGGGTGTGTGTATGAGTGCATGTAAGTGCTTGATGGTAGTGGCAAAATTATTTAGCTGGTGGGCAGCAGCTGTCCTGTGAACAGAAAAAAAAATAGAAAATTCTTGAAAGCGTGCTGCTTTTTCTACTAATATCATATGACCCTGGTTTACCCGACTATATGTCTAAGGGAGATAATCCACTTCCGCTACATACGTTTCTGTTTATTTTATTGTTTGTTTCCCACAAATTCTAGACATTTAAAATACCTCAATGTATGAATCAGTTATAACAAATTTAGTATAGGAAATGTTGAAGAGCTATCATCGCTTAGGTCCTGAAAGATGCAGCACATTGAATAAGATAGGAGATAAGGAATATGAACCCAAGATTGTTTTGTCCAGCATCGTATGATTCTGCAAAACCAAAACATTAACCTCATGACTCAAGTCATGTTCTTAAATAGCATTATTACATTTAAACTCTCATGTGGATGTCATATATTGCATCTAGATAATTCAGAAATTTCTAAACTCCCATTTATACACAAATGTTTTCTAAGGTCGTGATTAAAAATGAATTCAAGAGAATGAATCCTCTATGTCTTAAAGAAGACAATGTTTCATCAGACCTTATAGACCAGCCCTACAACATCGCAAACAAAAATATTTACATAACAAAATCCACTTAACTTGAACACTTGAAACAACAATAAAACATATATTACCACATATTGCGAAAAGAGAAGAAAATGATATAACCAAAACGTTAACTTTTCACACTATCCAAAAGAAAGGCTTTGGAAGAAAACTATGATCAATACCAGAAAGAGGTATAACGATTAGTGGACAGTAATGCTATTTTCACTATTACTATTTTTGGTTGTAATAGGTATTACATACATAATGTTCCAGCAATAAACTTTCTAGACATTTTTAAGTGTTTATATACATAATTTTTTGACTGTCAGGAAAAATTTTCTATAAGCTTATTATTGCGTTATTTTTTTTATTTTTAACCCCCGAATGACGTCATTTATTTTTTTTCTACTGAACTAGAATCTATAGATTTCACTACCTGATCCAACGACTGACAAACTGCAACTATTTCCAGACAAACCAATGCTTATATCCACGAGGTTATCACACTGACGTAACCTTAGGTCAACCCTGTAGATGGCTGCCTTGGTCTGGTCTGAAATTGAATGCAAAACCTATTCCGGCATAATACAACATTATTTCTATTGTTAGCCATAGTCCTGGTAGTATTAGATATAATAGTCTTTTAATTTCTTAAATAAAGCATTGTTAATGATTAAATTTCGTGCTTATATCTTTGATCTTATTTTCCTGCTTTCATCGCACTAGTAGTATTAGATATAATAGTCTTTTAATTTCTTAAATAAAGCATTGTTAACGATTAAATTTCGTGCTTATATCTTTGATCTTATTTTCCTGCTTTCATCGCACTAGTAGTATTAGATATAATAGGCTTTGAATTTTTCAGATGAAGCATTTTCAATTATTAAATTTGACTAGTATATACTTGACATTATCACAGAGCACATCTCTTCATTTAATTATCTAGTATTAATCCTACATCTCTTTAATTTTTCTTTCTGTCTGCATGTTCTATGCTGTACGCGTCGCTGACGAAATACCTGTTATTTGCTCACCTAGTTTATACCTAGAATATTGATATTTAATCTATCCATTTATTGCTTGATATTTTCAAGATGGTCACATTGATGTGGTTCCAGGTGCCTATTGCTAATTAGTTTGTTGATAAGCCGATTGATAAGGGTCCAATGACATCTGTCGCTCATGTTTATCCTTACCGGACGAGGAGATATTCCCAAGGAAACGAACCCCCCTTACACTTTTATTTTTTATATTGTAGCTGGATTACAAGATGTCAAGTAATACTTGTCACTCATCTCTTCCATTACTTGGTCAGGAATTATCTCCAGTGAACTTTGCTCCCTTCACGCCCTTATCTCTAATACCTATGTTGATAATTGACATAATTTTTCTAGGGATAGGTAGTAGAGTGGTTTCCTGTTGCCTTCTCCACTGTGTTTTTATCGAGACACCAACATCTAGTTAACTGGCCTTTGACTCCCTGAGATTGTTTCCGTCCTTTGATATGTCTTATTTTTTTGTCCTGCAGGGTTGCTAATCATCATTCTTGCACCAGCTGAATTGGAGCGGGGAACCAGTTTAATTGCCGTCCATTCAACAAATATTCTTCTTTGGAAAGAAAACATATCAGTTACCTTGACTTGAGTGAATAGTGAGCCGTGAAATAAATCCGCCACAAGTTCAAGACGGAAGAAAAGCCACATAAAAACAAAGAAAGAAAAAAATCAAATAAAACCCGGGAAAAGGTCATAATAATTGTTACTGTCCATCGTCTAAGACTATACAAACTGTCCAGAAAGGAGCTAACACTGTACCATAACGTAGCCTCAGAGTTACCCACCGGGGACACCCATTCATGCGCATTATGGCATTGCAAAAATACCGATATTGAACAGAGCAGTTCTTTCAGTTGCTACCAGAGTTTGTTAGAAACAAAGAAAAGAGTACTGAATTTCTATATAATATCCATCCGCCTGGATGACTGAGAATGCCAGACAATTTCCCCATAGCTGAAGAGAAAAATGGCGGCAGCAGAAACGTGATTCTACTGAATGAGACTGAGAATTCCATGGACGGGACAAGTAAGCAACGAGGCAGTCTTAAAGAAAATGGTAACAAAAAGAACACAAGAAGAGACGGATGAGATTTCTTGGACACATGAGGAGTATTTAACGCTCACAGGACTTATCGAGGGCAAGCGATATAGGAGAAGGCAGCGGTCTACCTACCTGGGGGCGGAATGGAGAGCAGGAGTCTTGACAAAGGAAGAAACACTGCTAAGGACCACAAGAAAGTTGTGGAGAACCATGATCGCCCACATCCTGAAAGGACACGGCACATAGAAAAATAAGTATATCTTTGATCTTATTTTTCCTGCTCTTCATTACACTAATAGCATTGTGTAATAGATTGTTTTTTTACGGCTTATCAACCTTTTGCAGGTTATTTAAAGCTAGAAAATATTTTGGAATTGTTTGAATTTATAGAGATAACAATAATTTACTGATACAAGTCCTACTTATTATCCCATAATTGGTGGAGGAAAGAGAAGAGGTGGATTCATACCTTTCCCAAGGGGATTTGCTTGTAATTGAATATAACGAACCCGACATGAATTGGAACTCAGCTCTCCGATTTCCAATTCAGAGTCATTATTAATTACACCCCCACGCATCCAAACTTACAACACCTGGTATTCCCAATCGATCACCCATTTAGCTATCGACCAGCCTCGAAATTACTTAACTTCGGTGATCGTACGGGAACCAATGCTTCAACGTGATAAGGCCGTAAGACAAATTTTAATAGAGTTTGAATTTCTTAGCATTGCCAGTTAAAAAAATTTAACAAGAATTTTTCTCGTATTCTTTTTTTCTTTTTCATTTAAGTACTTATTTAATTTGCAAGTTTTTGTTATCTTCAATGGGCATCTTTGCAGATGATCCTATCATGCAAGAGAATTAAATTAAGATCAACCGTGATAAGGAACTGCTCCATGAGTATTGTCTTTGAGAAGGTCAACAGAGATTAATCAGGAAGCGATCAAAGGGGAGCTTTCTTTCATGATTTTATTTTTTTCAGGTGCTAAAAATTGCAAGCAGGAAACGAAAGAAAAAAACTATTTTAAAAAATATCATTTCTTCTTCTCGAAATGGTCGTGTATTTTTTTCTTAACCGCCAATTATTCGACACTTCACTGCTATACAAAATAGACGTCACGACTATTCATATAATTAAAATGTCAGTTTTGATATTTGCCGTATGTCATGTTTGCCATATTTTTAATCATGGCCCCAAATATTAAGAAAAAAAAACTTTCATAATGTCATTCGATCTCACTTGGCTGTCTGCTTTTCTGAAGAATGCTTGTCAAAGCTGAAAATATCACAAATGCTCATCTAAAAAGTACAGATCGCATCAAGCAATGCCGCAGTCATCTTTAACAAATATTGTATCTGATAGCATATAATAGGTAAATTTTTACCTAAAATATTTTCTAAATATTATAGGCAAACTATAAAATCTTACGTTGTGTCGTAAATTCTGAACATCTTTGACTATATATTCATATTCACTCCCTCATCCCGTTAAATCGACTTTGGTTTGGTTTGGTTTGGTTGATTTTGTTTAGCGGCATATCAACCTCTATTGGTTAATTTATGCTGAAACCTATTTTGAACACGATCTTCAATTAAATATATTTTGAACGCAATTATATGCCATCAACTACAGATAAAATGTATTGTAGGTAATTTTACTATAAATATTTTTATATTATAATTTATTTTAGTATTTTTTGTATATTTATTATTAATATAAATTTTAACTCTGTTATTATATATATATATATATATATATATATATATATATATTGCACATTGAGTGCTGATGCTAATAAAATAGTGTTCGATGTATACTGAGAGAGATAATATTTATATTAATAATAAATATAATATACCAGCACTATTTTATATATATATATATATATATATATATATATATATATATATATATATATATATATAATAATATTTTTTATAAAAAATTATAACATAAATATGTTATAAAATCACTATAAAAATAGCCATTTTGTTTCAACACCTCGGTGTCTTATTTTTTGATGATGTTGAAGATAAAAATAAATGGTTTTAAAAGTTTCAGATTAATTAACGATCCTACACTAGGGGGAAACATTGTTACAAAAAGCTAGAATAACCAATCAAAAACCAAGTATAGAAAAGATTCAAAAGCTTGACAACGAAATCATGTTATAATAGCTATTCAGATCTTTAAAATACGTGTAATATTAAAATAATTTATACTAACCAATAATTATAAAATTATATGATAAAATTATACAAAGTAGAGCAGATAGAGCACTCTTTTAAGAATAGTAATTGTTGGTTATTGAATTCATTCCGTATATACCAATTATATATTTGGGTATATATATATATATATATATATATATATATGTTGTATGGATATGAGTTTGTAACCCTGGGTTTCACGCTCTGCGATCATCAATACCGCTCATATATATATATATATATATATATATATATATATATATATGTATGTATGTATGTATGTATGTGTGTGTATCTAGGCAGCAATCCCTCGTTTATACATGTTTCATTTAAGACCATAGACAAGGTACTGCGATTAAGCTTTTTTATTCAATTTTTCTTGTGTTCGAACAAGTGTTTTTTTCTGGACAGAGAATGTGTAGAAACTTTCTAAATGTTCTGTAATTCTGAGCGCTTTCGGCTATACCTGACAACCTTCCGGCAACTCCTGCAGCTTAGACGGCCCCAAATGTGTTCCTTTGGCTTCTGTCTGTACGGCCGAGGGCGCGGTCATGTAGTCTGTGCAGAGCGCGTCCCCATATACCACCACCCAGGCCAGCACCCTGGAGAGGTCACCAAAGGACTGAATTTTGAACAGACAGGATGCTTATTTCGCGAAGTAAACAAACGCTTATGCCCGTCTACTAGCTCGGCTAGCCAATCCCTGTTGCAGACGCCTGCTCAGACACAATTTGTGTTTGTTCAGCACCAACAGAGCCCACCTATGGTTTTATACTCTTCCGAGCGGGCCTTAGTTACAGTTCCTGGGAGCCTGGACAAGGCCAGCACGCTCAAACCTTCGGTCACGATGACTTGTACTTCGTGTTAGCACAACCATCAACGGCTCCTAAATAGTTCCGTCTAACCAATTTCACTAGCACCACTCAAACAGTGGTATGGTTTCCAGACATTTCCCAGAGGTGACGCGCGCTAGTATCAATAACATCAAGAAGATCCATTCTTATATAATATTATAAAATAACGTCGCTTACGACGATAAACTACGTCCGGCAGCAAGGCCTCTGATTGGGAGGTTTTGAGGAGCTTGGGACCACCTCTTAATTGGTGTTGTTAGGGTTCCAGCTATAGTCAATTAGTGAACCTTCCCCAAACTGGGAACAAAACATAAAAATACATTTTTATAGTAAAGATATAGCAATACATTAAATATAAAAAGGACCAACAATACATATTTATAGTAAAACGACCAAAAATGGATTTTACCTGTAGTTGAAATTGCAAAAGTTGCATTCAAAATATAAAATTGTGTTCAGATTATTTAGATTTCGGGATTAAATAACCCATAGAGATGTCGATATGCCGCAAAACAAAAGCAGCAAACGTCGCTTACGTCATAGTAAAAGGATGTGATAGAAATAATTTTTTTCATTACAAATAAATTTAAAATAAATAAAATACATAAAAACGATAATAAATATAAAAGAAGCTATTCTTGAAATTCTTTACAAAGGTTTATATTCTTACGCCAATTGTAAGGTGTTTGTAGTCAGATTTAAGATATTTTTAAGAGCAATTCACAATGGTAATAGTAATATTAACAGTTTCCTTATAAGGAAATATTCGACATTCATTGACCGAGCAATCAATACTGCTTGAAATTTATAAAATCTTTCTCTTGAAACATTTTTTAGGAAAATAGTTTTTCAAGTCCAGTATGTTATATTAAGCATATGGTGACAGAACAAAGTAGAAACAACGAAGGTTTAAATAAATAAACTATTGTATAAACGTAATGATACAAAAATTATCAATCGGTGTAAATGTCTAGTTTTGAAAAAATGAGATAAGTGGAGTTGTAAAAAGCATCCGCAGAGGTGTACGGAAGAAGAGAGATGATGAGTTGTAACTTACTAGGGCGACGACGTTTGGCGAGGTGTCTCTTGGAGATGGGAGGTCGCTTTCAGACGACGTCTGTGAACCTGGACCAAGATGACATTTCACTGCGAAAAATGAACATTTTGATCGGCTTTTATGTCCTTTCTTAGGCTCAAATCGGTTCTGATTTTTATTCTGTTTCTTTAGGCAAGTGTAGGTACTATTGGGTGGAAATTCTGGATTGTATTACTTATTTTTTCTTTGAGTGTGTGAGTGAAAACGGAAGAAAGGTACGGAGCCTAGCAGAATTTTAGTTCAGTTTTGGATGTTCGGAACGTTCACATCCGGCCAATGGTGGAATTTAGTGTAGAAGAAGATCTGGTTTTAGGAAGAATGTAACAAATAGCTGTTATCACTTTTTTCAATACTGATAGGAGTTTCCTTCCTAACCTTTTGTTTGAAGTAGTGTGGAATGTCAACATCTTGATTATGTCATTATTTTCTCTTTGAGTTACATGTGCTATCCATTTTAGCTGTTATTACTCTTTCCAGTACTGGTTGGGGTTTCCTTCCTAACATTTTTGTTTGAAGTAGTGTGGAATGTCAACATCTTGATTATGTCATTATTTTTCTCTTTGAGTTACATGTGCTATCCATTTTAGCTGTTATTACTCTTTCCAGTACTGGTTGGGGTTTCCTTCCTAACCTTTTGTTTGAAGTAGTGTGGAATGTCAACATCTTGATTATGTCATTATTTTCTCTTTCAGTTACATGTGCTATCCATTTTAGCTGTTATTACTCTTTCCAGTACTGGTTGGGGTTTCCTTCATAACCTTTTTGTTTGAAGTAGTGTGGAATGTCAACATCTTGATTATGTCATTATTTTCTCTTTGAGTTACATGTGCTATCCATTTTAGCTGTTATTACTCTTTCCAGTACTGGTTGGGGTTTCCTTCCTAACCTTTTTGTTTGAAGTAGTGTGGAATGTCAACATCTTGATTATGTCATTATTTTCTCTTTGAGTTACATATGCTATCCATTTTAGCTGTTATTACTCTTTCCAGTACTGGTTGGGGTTTCCTTCCTAACCTTTTGTTTGAAGTAGTGCGGAATGTCAACATCTTGATTATGTCATTATTTTTCTCTTTGAGTTACATGTGCTATCCATTTTAGCTGTTATTACTCTTTCCAGTACTGGTTGGGGTTTCCTTCCTAACCTTTTTGTTTGAAGTAGTGTGGAATGTCAACATCTTGATTATATCATTATTTTCTCTTTGAGTTACATGTGCTATCCATTTTAGCTGTTATTACTCTTTCCAGTACTGGTTGGGTTTCCTTCCTAACCTTTTGTTTGAAGTAGTGTGGAATGTCAACATCTTGATTATATCATTATTTTCTCTTTCAGTTACATGTGCTATCCATTTTAGCTGTTATTACTCTTTCCAGTACTGGTTGGGGTTTCCTTCCCTAACCTTTTTGTTTGAAGTAGTGTGGAATGTCAACATCTTGATTATGTCATTATTTTCTCTTTGAGTTACATGTGCTATCCATTTTAGCTGTTATTACTCTTTCCAGTACTGGTTGGGGTTTCCTTCCTAACCTTTTGTT